AAAAATTCAAGACCCACGGGAGATATACCAAGATCTGCCTGTCAGGATTCCCAATTTTAACTAGGCAAAGTTAGACTTTGGCAGAGGGGAGATGTCAGGGCCAGCTCCCAGCACGGAGCCGGCACGTGGCCATCCCACGCAGGAGAAGGAGAGGTCTCAGCAGGATGGATGGGAGCCTCTCCCCTCCCCACCCCTCGGCCTCGGTGCCGCAGATCAGCATGGGCACGCTTAATTTGCTGTTACAGACACATTTCTTGAACTGGGTCCCAGTTTTCACTTGCAAGTCTTGATGATGAATGGCCAAAGGGCTTGAAGGAATTATGAAGTATCAAGTAACATTTCGAGAGCGGAACATTCGATGTATTAAGAAGAATATTATCTCAGCTTTCCAGCAACGCCAGGTGCTTGTAACTGGGAAGGGTGACCCACCTATCATCCCTCACAGCACTTTGTTTCCGTGATTTCACCAAATCATTAATAACTAACGCTAACGATGGCCATTAAACCGACAGCTCAACTCTGAGCTCATGTAACACAGCAAGATTTTAATCTTCAGAGCTGCAAGGTGATCAGGATACTTCAGTTTGACTATCTTAACAACCACCTACCCACTCCGACTTCACTTGACCACTTTGCCTTAGTCTGTAATTGTTTTCAGAGCCCATCAAAACCGCCAGCATGGAACCAGTGGGGAAAACAGGTTCCAAGGTCTCTAGGAAATAAAAATCCAGCACAAATCAGTGCTAATTTACAAAACCAACAGGCTTAAAATTTAGACTCTGGGAAAAAAAGACTCAGAACATCAGATTTTTCATCCAAGATATACAAGGTTTTCTTCCAGTCCCGCTGTTTTCAAATCCCCTTATATAGCACAAGCAGGATACCCCAATAAAGGACAGGAAGGTACCGAAATAGAGTAACTTAAATAAAGGAGTGTTGATCCAATTGGGCAATGTTGCAGATAGTGAGCTATGTTGGAAAAAATCCTAAACCCATATTTGCTCTTCAGTGTTCATCCATAATTCCTATTAACATAAATATGTCACTAAATCCCCCATAGTAAGCAGCAGCAGTAAATGGCTTCTGTAGGCTTAAAAGCCAACGGTAAAAACTATTATTTTGTTTTCCATTAAAGAAAATAATAATAGAGGCTCACACGAGATGTGCATACACATGTTCGGTCCCAGCTCAGCTCCGGTGGAATGTTATTCATGAGCACCCAAAGTTATTTCCTGTTTGACATTTGTGTCACTGAAAACCAGCCATGTGTGCTGCTGGCTTCCTACCACAATTCTTAGCACCTCTAAAAGTTACACTGATTTTGTGTGTACACCCTGGATCAGCACAGAAGTTCTGGGACCACTGTTACTTCATTTCTCTTTGATGAGTTGTGTTTAACTGATGACTTGCGTTCCATTAAGTTGGGAACACAGGATCAGGTCCAGGGCCACTGAATCCAGTCCTCTACAAGCCCAGGAAAAAAAAAAAAAAAATATATATATATATATATATATATATATACACACACACTGGATATTTCAACAAGCTGTAGGTTGTCTGGTTTACATACTATCATCTGGGGAGTCCAAAACCCCTGAAAATTTGTGCCTCAAAAAAACAAGAGCAGAAAAGCCATAACTGTGGCATGCCATGTGAAGTGAACAAGAGAGGTATAAGGACATTGCCAGTGTTTGAAGGCTGTTCAATAGCTTGCAGCATATTGTTTATAATCTGAAGATGAAGGAAAACTGATACAAATAAAATTATTCTGAAAACCAAGCAGCTACTACAGATTTGCTAAGTGTAAAACATGCTACTAGGGATTACAGAAGGTGTCAGTTAAGTTACACACAGGCACATACACAGTAGTAAAAGGAAAACACTTCAGAATAACATATTAACCAAAACAAAGCTCTAGCCTTTATATGAGCCTGCTTCCATACAGTCTTTCCAATTCCAAGTGCCCTTCACAGAATTTAGGCAAAACCTGAATTATTTTTTTTTCCCCAATAGAAAAGCAATATGAATTGAGGATTCTAATAAAGCGTTTCATACCACATTTCACAACATCTTACTGGAAACCTCACTTCAAAACAGCTTGCAGAGCAGAGAGATATGAGTTGGAATTTGAATTAGAGGATCATAAATCAGGTATAATGATCTGTTGCAGTACCTCTCCACACTACGTAAACTTGCCTTTTACCCATCTTTATTTATTAAACTTATTCAGTCACCTCAGGGACTTCAGATGAAATACTTCTCCTTTAAAGAAATGTCTGGTGAATGGTCTGAGGATAACCTGGGTATAGTTTCTGGACTGATGCAGATGTAAGTCTACAAAATGCTGACTTGGGCAGTGAAGAAAAATACAGAGGAGATGGATTTACCACAGCCTTTTAGTGACCATCAAGAAGAAGGAAACACATAATCAATCCACCAACCTTCGCAGCTGGTGTAGAGGTAAGAACAGCCATAGCTGCACCTGTAAAGGTGTCTGCCTACTAAAGATGTGAAACAGCATGGGCTGGCAGCAGCAATCCAGACCAGTGAAGCTAGCCCCACGGCTATTTCCCTGTGAACTGGTCAATTTATCACAGGATCACAAGTTTGGAGCCTCTCACAGTAAGTTTGTGTACCCACTGAGCTACAGAGTCAGTGCCACATCAATAGTATCTCTAAGCTTCTGCTTGTGATCCTCTCTCCCAGTGACCCAGCCCTTCTCCCCCATTATTTAGCTGCCTGTGCTGTAGAGGCAGAGTTGGATGTGGTCATAATTTAAGAAGGTTTTGATCCAACTGGAGACATTTGGCATGCTGTGACTAACCAGTGTTTCAGTAACTTGCTGAGCTTGATGACCTTGGAGGGTGTGACAGGAAAAATAATGCCTTCTGAAAAGTTGACACAAATTCTACTAAAAGCGACAACAACCTTTGACCAAAGTCAAGACACCATTTCTCTATCGCTATTGATTAAGCTCACAGGAAGACTCCTGCTCCATTGAAATGTACTACCTATCCTTTGGTACCTCTCTTTTATGCACCTTGGCTTTTGCATCCCGTGAGCCCTTTAATCTTGCTCTGAAGAGCCAACAGGTCCATGCTGCTCCTCAATCATCCATACAAAACTGTAGTCCTCAGAAGAAATTGTTTCCCACTCCTCTTCCATCAACTGATTTCCAAACCTGAGCCAAACCAACCACAGCACAAGCATAGATAAATGGTGCACAGCCCCTGAAGTATGTGGGCCTTGCTTCATTTCCAAGCTATATTTATCATTGGCAGTACTTAGCTGCAGGCATATAATAAAACGTTAAGGCAATAAAATAGGATTTTCAATGACACTGTTGAAAAATAAGTTGAGATGGAAATTTGAGAAGAGTTTGGTAGATTCAGAAACAGGAAAAGCTGAATGCGTCATTTCAGCATCATGGTTTTTCTTCAGATTTTGATCCTGTTTTGAAAGCAGATTTTCCCTCCTACTTCATGCTCTTTAAACCAAGGGCCCCACTGGACTAACGTAATCCATATGCTTACTATTGCTTACATGCTATTCGTAAGGGTCAGCTAAACTGAATTATGACCCCACCACACATACTTTCCTACTTTCTATTACTTGTGTCGCAGAAAGGAATGTTTAGAGATAAATAAAGCAGAATGTAACAAACAAGAAGTTTATTACTTTTTCAAGAACTGGCTTTATGTATATTTTTGCTGGGTCAAAACAAGAATCTTTTGAGGAGATATTTGATTATGTACCCTTTTTAATCATCAGAAATGAGTAAAGGTAAGTGATGCATGTAAGCAAAGCACCAGCTATATATTAAATAATGCCTAGACATATAAACCACTCTAATCAATTAATCATTTATTCAGAAAACAGACTTTCGTATTGGAGAGAAGTAGATCGAGAAAGGTCCTATACCACAGATGACACAGTGTAGGATACAAGCAGCTCAGGATGCTCTCCAGGGAATACCAGACAAAGCAGAAATGTGATGGGTGCACTGAGGAGCACGTCGTATTAGCAGTATGGCTATGCCACACTGTCTTGGGGGAAGCATGCAAGTCCAAACCAGAGCATCCTACAGTCCTCCAGACAAACACCAGCTGTGCTCAGCTAAAAGGGGCTAGGGTGAGGAAGAGAGTAACGAGCTGCTGGTACAGCTGGGGGTAGCAGCAAGGCCTTTATCATTTCCATCATAAGCTCAGTGCAGCAGGAGGTGTTCACCAGCAGCCTTGTGTGAGTAGTTCCAAAACTCAAGTGATGACTGTTTCTGGCCCAGAGAAAGTGCCTTGCCAAGTTTTTATGTGTAATGGGCTGTTAGCTCCCCCGTGGCCCTGTCTTCTATTAAACACCTCACCTAAAGGAGTAATATGTGAAGCAGACTGCTGCCTAAGACTTCACAGAGCCAACAACATCACACTGCCTAAAATATGAAGCAGTATCTGGATGCAGACACGCACAAGTTCACCAGTTTGCATCGGGCTGTGATTGTGTGACGCTCTAAATGCAAACACACAAAAATCATCTAGAAAGGAAAACGAAATGCACCGGTAATGGTTTCAAACTTAATAACGTAACTGGCAGGGGACTGAATTCCTTTCAGCATTGTTTTCCAAACCCATGGGTGAAGCATACTCTTGCATGCTATAGCTCCCTTAACAGATGCCCTCCGAGCATTTGATGCTTGAGAAGCAAATAGCAGGTATCAAGCCCATGCCTTTCAGGCATCAAGCTCTTATTAGGAGACCAGCCTTACTAGCTTTCAATTTACAGCTTTGTCTAGTGGGTGCATGTCAGCTCCACTACAAAGAGATTTAATTAGCCTGTAATTTGACTCTACAACACGCTGGCTAGACAGACCGATGAAGGACATGTACGGAACTGCAGAGCAAACTGTGGAGTTGCGCTAACTTGGAAGCAAGAACGGCTATGATGTCCACGCCAGCAACACAACTAAGCACATAACGCACAGCAAAATGCTCAAACTTTGTCCATACCTGAGATACAGAAGGTCGAGGGGGCAGTGCAGGTGGTGGTGGGGGCAGCCAGCCAGACCTCACAGCTGAACAGGGAGAAAGAAAAACAAACACATTCACTTAATTACAAATAAAACCAGAGTTTATTTCCATGATAATTCGTTGTGATGAGGCAGTATTCAACATTTTAATAACAGAAACCATACTTGATCTTTATTGAGCAAACCCTGTTTGAAATAACTTTCTCCAGTGCTTACCATTCCATAAAATGAGCAGTGATTTAATTGCTGTAAAAAACCACAATGTTATGATAAAAAGCAGAGATGGAAGCCAGTCAGCCACAAAAGCTGTAGCTAAAGCAATCCAATTCTAGTTAAGAACAGAAAGAGCACATACTTATCCTTAGTACTTTGTTCTCTATCCTTAACATCACTGCCTTTTTAAAAAAGTAGTGCTTAGCATTTAATATAGATATTAGAGTTCACAGAATCACGGAATAGTTTGGGTTGGCAGAGTCCTTAAAGATCACCTGGTTCCAACCCCCCTGCCATGGGCAGGGACACCTCCCACCAGCCCAGGCTGCCCAAAGCCCCATCCAGCCTGGCCTTGAGCACCTCCAGGGATGGGGCATCCACAGCTTCTCTGGGCAGCCTGTGCCAAGGCCTCACCACCATCATATTAAAGAATTTCTTGATTATATCCAATCTAAATCTACCCTCTTTTAGTTTACAGTCATTACTCCTTGTTCTATCTCTACCAACCCTACTAAAGAGTCTCTCCCCAACTTCTTATAAGCCCCCTTTACTTATTGGAAGTCCACAATAAGGTCTTCCTGGAGCCTTCTCTTCTCCAGGCTGAACAACCCCAGCTCTCAGCCTTTCTTTGTAGGAGAGGTGTTTCAGCCCTCTGATCATTTTTACGGCCCTCAGTTCACTCCAGATACCACACACTACACAACAGAGCACAGCCTGTAAAGAAAAAATCTGCCATGGAATTAGAAATACAAAAGCCTAAACAAACCCCCCAAAAATCACTTACTTTATGTGTTGTATCTGCATGTTATTACTCACTGGTGGTATTTTGGAGGGAAGAAGAGAAATAAAGGGACGAAGACAAACCCTAATAGTCAGTTCAGGCCTCTTTAGCATAACATAATTTCATCTTTTATCTTGAGCTAGCATAAAGGGAGGGTAACAATCACATAGGTCCAGCTGCTATACTTCTCCATTTCTTTAAAATATCTAAACCCAATCTTGGGACACAACTGCAGGACAGATGAGGTTTTCCAAAGACAGCTGCAGAGGAGAGGAGGGCAAGGCTAACACAGAGACATCACCAAGGACTGATGGGACTCCTTAGGTGGGTTACCCTCCCCGGGTTCCTGTGGCATTGAGTGCTCAGCACTTGTACTGCTGAAGAGATGAGACAGTACATCTTGCACTGCTGGTTATCTGTATAGCCCCCAAAATGCAATATTAAACTTAGAAATGCCTTTTACCACAATAATGCTAAGCAAGCAATTACATTTATACACTTTTTATTCCTATGCATATTTTAGAAAGCCACAAAGACCATTATGTGCCTTGTTACAGCTTAGCCATTTACATATTTTATACACCAAGCCTAAAAATCTCTTCATGGTTGAAAATTCAAAGACAAAAAATATTAACCATTAAGTCAGCGACATGAGAGTAAAAACGTGTGGGTGAAATTAATGGGAACAGTCACACTGACTATATACAGCTCCAAAGAGGCTTATTTTATGTTGTTTTTTACATCTTCTGTATCATCATCTCTTGAATCAGAATGAAGCCTAGTATCACTGCAGACAATGCCAAAGAGCAGACAATTAAAACCCAGCCTAGGTTAAGGGAGCCATTAACATACCTACAGGCATAAGAGAAATCTGAAAAAAAAATACATTTGAGTGATTGCAATCCTCTCCCCTGTGTTAATTAGCTCCATTTATAAGGTCACTGCAATACTAGCATGGTGTCCTCTCCACAACACTCTCCATCTTTTCCATGCAACTGGTCTTCAGAGTTGAACAGTGGACTACGAAGGCTTCCCTTCTACAAATTTCAGGGTGTTATTTCATTTGTCTGAGCACTGGCTTTGGCAATTACAGCTAATAACAACACTTGAAAACACAATCTAACTCAAACACAAGTGCTCCGTAGGTCACTCAGCTGCATGCTTTAATAGTAGACAAGTATGTGTACTCAGTGAGATACGTTTATCTTTGGGAAGCCTTGGGAGAGCCTCGCTGCAATGCTCGCTGGAAATATCTGGGGGCACCTCACCTTCCTGCCAGCACCAGTGGCTGTCGCTGCGAGATCATCTGTGCTTGCCCAACAGCTCCAGTGTCGTGGCTGTGGCCAGGAGCACGAGCCATGCAGACCTCCTGCTGAGTCTGAGCATGATGCCATGGAGTGTGCTGCAGCCACGAGCGTGAGGATCTGAAAGGCAAAGCCCCAGGCACCGACCCCAGCTGCTGCTCTGGCCCTGGCGCACGTACGCAGCCCCCTCCAGAGCCCATCTTTTCATATTTGCTGGCTTATGCTTCAGCAGGCCCTCAAAAGCAGTACTACAGGAGCTGTGTCCATCGAGAAATGGCCTGAATGTCAGCACTGCTCTAGAGATACAGCACCTATTGTCCTGCTCCCCAGCTCTTCCAACTCACTGGTACACCTAGAAAAGCAGCAGGGAATTCTTTATGCAGAAAGATGCTGGTTTAGCTGGAAAAGCACATCCTGATGTGGTTGCAAAGCCCCACACTATGAAGCTCCAAGACTCCTGGGATTTGCTCCCAACAAAATTCCAGAGGGAAAAATCTTATTTTCCTGTGAGATGGTCAAAATTAAAAAAAAAAAATCTTCTTCAGCTTTCAAAATAGGACATACATTAATTTAGCATTAGAGAAGTTTGATGCTTACACCACGAGATTTGACCCAGTTTCCTCTTTTTAATCCTGCAAATTCTAACTTAAGCTACTCATGAAATATTCATAAAATTCCTGCTGTTGCAGAACATCTTTGGCCTGTTGTTAGAAGGAAATCATGCTTATGTGAGCACAATTGCTAGACAAGACCAAGTTGGTTGACTTTTGGGGACTAATAGCAACTTATAAAGAAAAAAAAAAGTCACTTTTTCCCCACAGGGCAATGAAAAAAAAAGAATAACTGACAGATGATACAGGCTTCAGCCTTCTCTGGTATCACTACTCGAAAAAAGGGGCAATATTCAGAGACACTCATACATTTTTATGTGTACCAGCAGGTGCCTTGTACTATTAGGCTACTTTATAATGCCTCCCCTCCTGGGAGACCGTCCCACACAGACTGGTTCTTGCTGTTAGTGGTGGTACCACAATAGCTTTGAAAGCAAAAATAAATACAGGGGGAGGTCTGTTCCCAAAATGAAAGCAAAGTGACTTGGGATTGAGCAGCAAACAGCCAGATGTCACATTTTGAGGTGCATGCCCCAGAGCTTGGGTAAGCTGCACACCATCGCTCTTTGAAGACGTCTTCACACGTTGCACAAAAGCAGAGAGAACTGGGGGGATGTGGGCATGCACAAAGGGACCACGGGGTAAGATGGGGTAATTTCCCTTCATACAGTTATCCACGCTTGGTTTGTTGCTGTCCTTATGTATTGCCCTACAACTTACACCAGGAAAACGTGGTAATCCTTCCTTTCAGCTGCTCTGAAAGCAGCAGGGCCCCCGCAGCAGCTGTGCTCCCCGTGCCAATTCCACCAGCAGTGATGGGATCCAAAAGGCCTGGAAGCTGCAAGCGAGATGCACAAGCCCTGTTTCCCCAGGTGTCTGAAACGCCTCCTTGCATCAAACAGAATGAGCAATGACAGAAAAGCAGGGAATTGTGCTGGGTGAGCACACCACTCAGAGGTGTAGGGAGCGAGGGATACCCAGAGGTTTTCCTCGCTGAAGGATGGGCATTCACAGTCCCAGTTCTTGCACCGGTCGCCTCGTTACTGTGCAGCTTGGTGGTATTCACGCCAGAGTGAGCAACGTAAACGCAGTCTTACAGATAGCACAGTGGAAGAAGGACTGTTCAGGTACCAGTAAAATAGATTTAAGTACACCCAGTGTCTGCCTCGCACATATTACTGAAAATGATAGCATTTTCACGCCCTAGCTACTCCCACAAGGGCAGCGATAAGGCTTTCAGGACAATAACCATGGCTCTTTACTCAGTGTGTTTACACTTGATGGTGGACTATCAGCAGGGCAAGCTGCCAGGACCATTTTCCTGCCCTATTTTGGCAATTGCGAAGGTCTAATAGCACTAGCAGGACACCACACTAGATAAAAAAAGCAGGTTTTCCAATCTGAAGCTAGATAAACATTTTCAAGCAAACATCAGGATGTAATTCCACAATCTGAGAACAGGCCATGCCATCCTACCCGGCAACGCCACTCTGCCTCCAGCCTCCCTGGTGGGGGAGACAAATCCTCAGCGCTTTTGTTACCTATGGGAGTGGAAAAAGACCAATTACAGTTTTCAAGTGGATGCTACTGATCAGCCCACAATCTGACTACCATCGCTGGATCGAGGGGGGGAGATTGATGTGAACCCACGATGCAGCCAGTTTGCGCTGCTTCAGAGTGCTGAGTTCCCAAACCAGGCTTAACAGAAGAGCGACCAATTAATTTTGTGAAGCATAATCTGCAATACAGAAACACTCCCAAAAAGATATGCCAAAAGAATGAATTACTCTGAAAAAGAACGGGTTCTCACCAGTTGCTTCAGTGCCTTAGGTAGTTTGGGAAGCTGGCTATTTTGGCCTTCCACTCTGAGGCTAGTTTGTTTGGGATACTTTTTCCTCTTCTGTTGCCAAAGGCAGGTCACAGAAGAAAGTTCCGTGTCTATGCTTGAAATCCAATTCCTGTTTACCTGTCTTATAAACTTTCCTCTTGTTCGCTGAAATTTGACTACTTGGATCCTTCTCCGCAACCCTTCGTTTATTTACATTCCTATACTTTAGCACAGTGATTGTGAAATAACTCCAAGAGATCTGATTTATCAATTCCCACTAATATGCCTTAAGAAAGCTGCAACAGGAA